CTGTCAAACACAAAGAAAGCATTGGCCCCATAAAGGATGCCTGTGACAACATGTGTTGCATTGCTGTTCCGGATGACCTCTTCTATTTGCAGTTTCTTGGCGTCCTGATGATTTAGTTCCAGTCGTTCATAAGCCGTTGTGGCTCTGTACTGATGTATAACTCTGCTCTGGTTCTTGAACTCTTTATCATCAAGCAAGTAGTTGGCAGCTCCTCCAACTTCAACCAGACCACTAAGAAAACTGACTATGAGAGACGCATCAGCCTTCAGCAGAGAAGCCTTTTCGTCAATGGAGTCTGAGACAGTAGTTTCACAGAAAGTGCCATTTTGAGTTTTTTTTATCTTGTACTTTTGAATAGTTTCTCTGTCCCATAGAGAAAAATCTGTATGAAATGAAATAAATGAGTTAATTTCCAAAAAATATTTCTTATATTTCTACTTTTATGAATGAGAAGTAAGTGAACAGATTTAGTTTGGTTAACAAAGTTGTTGCCAATACGGATTTATTCTCAGCAATATCTAGAATATTAAATAAAATCCACTCCTAAAGTGAAAAATCTCCACCAAAATGAAAATATATTGCAGTATAAGTTTTTGAACCTTCACTTTTCACTTTGGGACACTTCAATTAAAAAAAGGCAGTTATGGGAATAAAATAAACAACTTCATAATGCCTTTTTTTTGGTAAGAACTAACAAAGCAATTCATTTGTCCATTGTTACAAAATCATTACTAGCTCCTGTTTCTACCCTCCTTAGGTTGTGGTCAGACCATGGGATAAGGTGGCTTAAACCAATGCAGAAGGGCTGCTGAGTGGCTGGGGAAGAGTAAAGTAGCAGTTATAAAATATATAGAGAAGGACTTGGATAGGTGTTCACAAATAAGCACATCTGTACAGTACGCACAGTTATTGGGACCACAGATAACCAAAGGTTTTATTTTAGTAGGCAGGGGTAAAGATTAGGGGTGGAACGGTTCACAAAATCCACGGTTCGGTTAACGGTTTCGTGGTCACGGTTTTCGGTTTGGTATATATATGTTGATTGTTAGCCTGACATGTTGGTCGTGTTGCTGTTAGCATAAACAAAACGTGTTGCATAATGCTTGCACACTGTTTTTATCCACAACTTTCCTACCCTGTGTTTCCTCTTGTCAGAATAACCTGCCTCAGACTCCCTAGCCGCTGCTGCTGTAGATCTGCAAACCATTAGCCGTAGCTTTAATAAATGCTTTTAAGTTATCCCACTGTTATCAGAAGACATGTCTTCAACAATTAAGTTCCTGTGTGCATGTGCAGAGTTTATGCTCCTTTGATCTAGAATTGATTATTTTAACAGTGTCTTCACATGTCTGCTAAAAAAAGATTAATCAAACCACTGCAGTTAAACCAAAATGCTGCTGCTTGAGTTGTCACTTGGAACAAAAAGAGCACATTACCCTGTTTTTAAATTCTTTCCATTGGCTCTTTGTAGCTCATAGAATAGACTTTGAACTTCTTCTATTAGTTTATAAATCGCTGAATGCTTTTGCGCCACAATACATTGATGATTAACTATCTTGGTAGCAACCTTCCATACCATTCAGGTCTTCTGGTTCTGCTCTGGTCTACTCTACATCCCCAGAACCAAACATGGAGAAGCAGCTTTCATTATGTATGCTCTATCAATAGGAACAAATTCCCAGAAACTCAAGCTCAAAATTCCTTAAGTCAAGGCTGAAGAAGTTATTTGAAAAATTCTGTATTGAATTTGACCACCTAAAAAATGTATACTTTTGGATGATTTAAATGTTTTTACTTCATATTTGTTTGTTTTTTTATGAAGTAAAGCACTTTTAATTTTCTTGCCGCTGAAATGTATACATTTTGATTTATTTACTTAGCTAATATGTCCCAATTAAACAAGGGTTAGGTCCTTTATAATAACAAACCAAAAGGAATCCTCCTTACATCTGAAATGTTGGTTAACTGAATATATAAACTGATTTATTCTCATCTTACCAGTTATTAGCTTATCTCTGTAAGCGTCATATAGCATCCCCAATGCGAAAGGTCTACCAAGGGCGGCCACCTCCATTTGATCTGAGGCCATGTCTTCAACCTGAAAGGACACATTCATGAATCAAAAGTGAAGATGTCATATACAAAAATAATAATAATAATAATTAAAAAAAATAAATATATATATATATATATATATA